CATTCTCTCTCTCAAATAAATAAAATCTTAAAAAAAAAAATTAATTAATTAATTAATTAAAAAAATAAAAAGTGTATTTCTTTATCTTTGGTATTCAGAAACTTCACTTTGCTCTGTCTCTGTGACATTTTCTTTGTATTTATCCTATTGGAGGATTATGGCTCATTTTAAATCTGTGGCTTGATGGATTTTACTGGATTTGGGACATTCTTGTGCAGTATCTGTTCCAATAGTCCCTCTCCTCTCCTACTGCAACTTCGATCGTACAATGTTGGGCCTTTTTACCTCATCGCATGTATCTGGTACCCTCTCTTCTGTGTTTTTCATCCTTTTTTCTCTTCGTGACTCAGTCTGAATACATTCTTTCATCTGTCTTCCGGATGAGTAGTCCTCTCTTCTTTCTAAGCTGGCATTGAAACCATATATTTATTAATTTTGATTACTGTTTTTTAAAATTAGATTGTTTCTAGTTTCTAGTTCTGTTGTGAAATTCTACATCTTGCCGTCCATCTTCTCAAATGTCGGATTACAGCTATTTTAAACTCTGTGTCCAATGACTCCAATACCTGAGTATCCAAGAGGGCAGGGAGACATCGGTATTTATTTTATGTTCTTACATGTGTTTTTTGCCATATGATCCTATCTCCTGGTATGCCTGGTAATGTTGATTAAATGCCAAGTATCATAGGTTAAAAACTGTAGAAACAACTTGAGGATCTTGATGACGCTATTCTTCTTCCAGAGAAGACTTACTTTGGGTTCTGGTGGGCAGTGAATGATCACCATAGTCCCTGGTTGAAGTGATTCAAACCTGAGCTTCAGCTTTTATGAGGGATGATCTATTTCCGATTCAGTACCACTACCAGGGCAAAGCCCTGTGGTGAATGCAACTAAAAGCTGGGGTGTTTGTTAGGGTCCCTCTGCTATGATGGCTCTGAACTTGAGTTTTTGTTCCCCTGAGGCCATAGCACTGTCAGAAACGCTCCTCGGCTTCTCAGTTTCTCAGCCAAAACTTCAAGGTCAGCAAATTCTGAAGAGAGAAGAGATGCCAAGTGGTGGGCTTATTCCTCTGAGTCCCTCCGTCTAGGTCTTGGCTCCTTTTGTCCCCACTGCCTTGGCAGCTCTCTGAGGCCTTGTACAGATCCCTGTGTCATATTCTGTCTAGATTCTTGTGATATTCTCGATGGAAGTGTTTGTCCGCAACAGTCTGGTCCTCTGCCACCTTCTACTGCCATTGCTGTGTGATATTTCCTGCCCCCTGGACACTTGTGGGCCAACCAAGGTTATCATTTAGACTAGCGGCTGGCTCTTCCCTGGGAATGCTCGGTTCAGGGACTTCTCCAACACGGCTGCGGGAGTGGATGCCCCTCTGCTGTGAAAACACACATGGGCACTTCTGAGGTCCAGTCTGTCTTCTGTTCACTCTCCTCCCCATCTTTTCCTCCACGTCATTCTGCACAAAATTGCTTCTTTTCTCTTGAAAGGCCCCTCACCCTCCCACTCTGCCAGACTGTCCCTTCCCCACCCCACCCCCAGGTCACATGCAAGAAACAGGCCTTGGAAGAACAGCTGGCCCAGAGCCTGCAGGACCAGGAGGCCCAGATGGACACTCTGCAGAGGGCCCTGCAGGAGAAGGAGGCTTTGTCTGAGGAGCGGACCCAGCTGCTGGCCAAACAGGAGGCCCTGGAGAGGCAGGTCCAGCTCACAGCTGAGGAGGCAACTGACCTCAGGTACCTGGGGCCCTACCAGCAGGTTGTGTCCACATGGCCTCAGCCTGGAAGAGCCTGGAGTGGGGCAGGGGGCAGGCACTTACTCAGCGACTGTAGGGTGGAGCGATTCTGTCTACGTGGGAGAGAGGCTGTGAGTGAGGGGCAAACTCAGTGCCTGGATAGGAGGAGCATCTAGAAGTGAATGTAGTGAGAGCCCTGGGATGGCGCTCCTGAGCAAGGCGGCTACACTGGCCAGATTGCAAGTAACCAGGAACCCAGTTCAGACTAGCAGAAAGAAGGCATAGGATGTCTTGCTCATGGATCTAAGAAGTTCAGGTACACATGGCTTCAGGCAAGGCTGGATCCAGGTGCTCCCACAGTGCTATCAGAATCCTGTCTCTCCCTGCTCAGTTTTACTTAACTCAGGGGATTTTGTTCTCAGGCAGGCTCAGGGTGAGAGGTGGCAAATGGTCAATGGCCACTCCAGGCTCCCTCCTCCATTGGACGTACTGCCCTTCTCCCCACAAAGCCCAAGAGCTGCTACCATTGGCCATCGTGAGCCCTTTGAAGGCCCTGAACCAGTCCTGGGATTTGCAGGGCCTAGATTGGCAGGCTGGAGTCACGGGCCCATCCCTGAAGCCAGGGACAGTGTCAGCCCCAGGGAACCATGAGGTTGAGGGCAGGGTGAGCTTCAAAGACCTTCAGGGGCCCCTTCCAGAAGACATGAAATAGGCACTTGGAGGCAAGAACACGGTGCCTGTATGCTATTGCCCGGTGAGCTGAGCTGGTCCCAAGGTCTCTGTGGAAATCCAAAAGCTGGTGGCTTTCTGCCCCCAAACTTGTAGGCTCTCTTGAGAACATCGAAGTATTTTTTAGAAAGGTTTCCTCCTGGAATTCCAGAATCTGGGAGTCACGAGAACCCTTCAAGTCCCAGGTCCTTAAACATCCTCACAGACAAACCTTTTGCAAATGAAAGCTGACAGAGAAATTGGAACAGAAAACCTAACGAAGCCTACTCTGGGTCAGCAGGAGCAGAGGGTCCCTGCCTGTTACCCCCTCCCAAGCCCCACAGGTACTCAGAAGAGTGGGGGTAGAGGCCCCTGTCACCTGCCAACATCTGCTGCCCAGATCACCGGCAGATGCCTCAGCAGCCCAGGATCCTCTCTCCAGGCTCAGACCTGACCTCTGGGCCCAGGGCCTCTGCACATGGCAGCCCAGTGGCCCCCAGACAGAGCCAGCTGCTCGTTAAACAGCACTTCACAGTGAGCAGTCTGAGCTTCTGCTGACAAGGCTGCTGGGGACTCGTCAAACCACATATACTTGGCACACACACTGTGTGTTTATCTGGCTGGCTCAGTGGGGCTGGAGGGTCTGATCACGGCAGTTTCGGTGAGCTCCGAGGTAATGTTGACAACGAGCAAGTACCAGAAGTCCTGCTGTATATTGCTTCTCCCGCAGCAGGCTGGATGATGGTGAGGGAGGGCCCAGGGCTCAGGGTCCTGCAGCCCCCACAGCCAGGCCCCGACGGGGCTGCAGCCCCAGGGACACGCTCTCAGTTCACAGGGTGCTGGCTCCCTCACCAGCCAGAGAGCTGGGTGGAGTCCCTGCCTGCCCCCTGCCCGCACCCTGGCTGGTCACGCTGGGCCTCTGCTGCAGGAGGCTGAGCTGCTCGGGGCTCCCGGGGGTGGACAGACTGGACACACCCTCCGATTCCCAGGCTTTGAGGTGAAAATTCTGGTGTCTGAGCGGCAGAGACCACTTCTCCCAGAGGGGAGATATCTGGGAGGAGGTGGGTTCAAGGTGTTGGGGAGAGCATTCCCCACAGAGGGGGTGCTCACACAGATGCGGGGAGTGGGGAACAGGTGGGGTGCTGACAAGGATAGAGACTGGATATCAGAGAAGTGAAGTTTCTGGGCTCCGCAGGCATCAGGGAGCCCTGGAAGTTGTCAATGTGCCCTCCCTACCCCCCCCAACAAAGGTGCCAGCGGTGTGCAGGGGGCCGGGGTGGAGGGCCGTCAGGGTCAGGGTCAGCAAGGTCCTGCATGGCCCACGCCCTCCCTGACCCATTGACTTGGGTGGGGTTGTGTGTTTGCTGTTTGTGTGTTCGTGTGTTTCTGTTTGAGTGTTTGTGGTGTTTGCATGTGTGTTGTTTGGCCGGTTCCTTTCTTCACCCTACGCCGCCCAGCACAGGGCAGAGCCTAGTAACGGTTAGGACACGCTGGTTGGCCGGTTGACGGCTGACAACGACTTCAAGCCCTTTTATCAGCCTCTCCAGAGAGGAATGCTGCTGTACCTTTCCAGGTACTTCCTGACCCGGAGGCAGCTTAGCACAGCGGAATCAGGCTACGTGTGCCCTTTTGCTCAGAGAATAAAGAATAGAGTTTCCTTGTCCTCGGCAACAGTTCACTAGATGCACCACCATTTCTAACATGCTGCCGTTTATCAGCATGGAAGCCAAGTCCAGTCAATACCCTATAGAAAGCTGCAGTGAGCATCTTATACACGCGTGCTGGTTCCTGGGTATTTCTGGAGAACTGACATGTGGGAATGGGACTGCGGGCTCGAAGATAGGCACACTTTAAATTTTGAAATTTCCCAGCCTCCTCTCCACAAAGAAAATGGTCCCCACATCCTTGCCCACATAGAATATTACCATTGTTTAAAGTTTTGTCAATCTGATACATAGTCAATAACACCTCATGGTTGTAATTTGAATCTCCTTGAGCCCTAGTAAGGTTGAGTAAGCTTTATATGTTCATTCTCCCTGTGTGTTTTCTTTGTGAATAACAGTCTTTTTTTTTTTTTTCATTTTTCTGTAGGATCAGCTGACTTTCTGTCATTGATAGACAGAAGCTCTTCCCATATGGTGGATATTAATTCTTTGTCTTTTTAGTGCAGATTTTTTTCTTCAAGTCTGTCCCTTGTCATTTAAACTGGTTTATGCAATCTTTTCTGCCCAACCATTCCCCCGCCTTTAAGTGTATTTAGATCTGCTGGCCTCTTTATTTTTGTCTTCTGGCTTTTGTGTCTTAAGAAGATTTTAAAATACCGTTCTGTGTTTTCCTCGACTATTTCTTTTTTTAGAGAGAGAGGGAGCATGCTCACGGGGGTGGGGAAAGAGGGGGAGAAGCAGAGGGAGAGAGAGAATCTTAAACAGGCTTCACGCCCTGCATGGAGCCCAACACAGGACTCGATCTCACGACCCTGAGATCATGACCTGAGCTGAAATCAAGAGTCAGATGCTTAACCGACTGAGCCACCCAGACGCCCCTCTACTGCTTTTATAGTTCTGAGTTGTTTATTTGCTGTTTGTTTTGTTTCATTTAGCTCTTTAATCCATCTGAAAGATGAATCTGTGCAGGGCCCACTTTGGTTTTAGAGATTTAAAATGAATGAGATGTTCATTCTGTTTATCTTCTGATTGATGAGCCTGGCCTTGGCAGGCACCGTCCCACTGTCTAGCAACTGCGCTCTGCACCACCCCTCAACAGCAGGACCGCCCAGGTGACGGGCCCCACTGTCTGATGACTCTCTGCAGGGCCGAGAGGGACTCTCTGGAGAGCAGCCTCTTTGAGACCCACCAGCTGTTGAGGCAGCTACAGGACCAGCGGGAACAGCTGGAGGGAGAGGCCCAGAGCGTGCGGCTTGCTCGGCAGGCCCTGCAAGGTGCTCCTCAGGCGGACTCTCTTGGCTCCTCTCCCCCCCTTCAGTGGATCTCGACCCCCAGATGTGCTGCCCCTGCTCCCCAGTCCCCCGAAGGAGCATGAACACAGGCCGAGAGCTCACGGGGCTGAACGGTTCCTGCCACTATTGTCTGGGAGGGATGGGCATCCGTCCTGCCTGCTTCCAATGCTGGGCCCAGGCGCAAAACTGGGCTGCAGCCACAGGATCAGCATGCTGGCTCCCTGCCCCTCCCCTGTGCTCCCTGTTCAGCCCACCCTGCCTTGGGCGCCTGGCCATAGCCAGTACAAGGTGAGAACTTAGGACACACACACTGCAGTGGGGCACGGAGTGCTTTGTCCCCCCGGCTCTGACAGCCCCCTCAGAGCAGGTGGCTGTCCCTCTGTGGGCCCGGCACTCCACAGGGAGTTTGTAAGGGCCACAGGGGTTCCATGCTGGGGGGGCCTATGGCCAGTCCCTGATGCACCTGTCACTTCACAGTGGAAATGCAGCAGCTGAAAAGTACCTGGGAGGTCCAGGAGACAAAGCTACAGTGGGACGTGGGGCGGCTTCAGCGGCAAGTGGTACAGCAGGAGCGGGAGATGCAGCTGGCCCTGGAGAGCCAGGCGCTGGCCCACCACGAGGACCTGGCTCGGCTCCAGAGGGAGAAGGTCTGCTTCCGTTGGGCCACCCAGTTGCCTGGTCACTTCCCCGGAGTCCACCATGTCCCAAAATGCAGCAGACACTTAAGGGTGGAGGCCTAAGAGACCAGCCAGGAGACAGAGGTGCCCCAGCCATGCTGTGGCTAGGCCAGAGGAGGACTCTTCCTAGTTCAAGTGAGCCTGGGCCATCCAGAGCCTGGAACGTGTGTGCAGAAGAGGCCAGGCCTTGGGCAGGCTGACCTGGCTGCAGTCTGAGGGCCAGTAGCTGGAGGGAGCTTTCCCTGAAGGTCTTGCTTGACATATTATACATCTTACGAATGTGGAGGCTCAGGAGAGGTTTATGAACCACTACATAAAAGTGGGAGGGCAGATGGTGAGACCCAGCTCTTGCTTTGGTGTCACTGGGTAAGACAAGTGGTATATGGCTGACTGGGGTAGACAACCTCTGGGGACCTGTCCTGCCCTGATGTCCCACGAACCAGGTCTCACTTAGGACCTGCTGGTCTCACATGTCCTGACCTATGCAGCCTACACAGCCTATCCCTTTGCATTGGCCCAGGAGACGCTGAGTCTGTCTCTGACAGAGGAGAAGGAAGTGGCAGCTCGCTGTTTGGAACAGGAGAAGAAGCTGGTAGCAAAGAATGTAGCCAAGAGGGAGGCTCTGAAGGAGGAAATCCAGAGCTTGAAGCACGAGAGGGACAAGAGTCTCCTCCAACTGGAACATGAGATGCAACAGGTGATGGGGCACTATGAGGCAGCAGGGAACCCTCACATCCACTTCACCATGCCTTCTCTGACCCAGCAAGAGGGCTATGAGGGCAACCTTTCTAGGTCACTGCTACTGCAGCTTTGGTCTTCCACAGAAGTTCTGGGGGACAGACATCCATCCAGCAACCCATCCATCCATCCATCCATTCATCCATTCATCCACCAATTCATCCATCCATTCATTCATCAATCCATCTATCCACCCATCCACCCACCAATCCATCCACCCACCAATCCATCCATCCATCCACCCATCCACCCACCAATCCATCCATCCATCCACCCATCCACGCACCAATCCATCCATCCACCCATCCACGCACCAATCCATCCATCCACCCATCCACGCACCAATCCATCCATCCATCCGTCCATCTATCCATCCATCCATCCATCCACTAATTCATCCATCCACCCACTAATCCATCCATCCATCCACCAATCCATCCATCCACCAATCCATCCACCCATCCATTCATCCACCAATCCATTCATCCATCCATCCATCCATCCATCCATCCACTAATTCATCCACCCATCCACCCACCAATCCATCCATCCATCCACCTACCAATCCATTCATCCATCCATTTATCTACCAATTCATCTATCCCCCATCCATCCATCCATCCATCCATCCATCCATCCATCCACCAATTCATCTATCCATTCATCCACCAATCCATCCATCCATCCATCCACCAATCCATCCATCCATCTATCCATCCATCCTTCCATCCACTCATCCATCAATCCATCCATCCCCCCACCAATCCATTGTGTCGAGTGGGGTCGATGGGGCCTTTTCACTCTGTCTGACATGTCCCAAGCAAGGCACTGAGCATCCATCCACTAATCCGTCCACCCATCCACCCCTAATCCATCCACCCATCCACCCCCCAATCCATCCATCCATCCATCCACCAATCCATCCATCCACCAATCCATCCATCCATCCATCCATCCATCCACCCATCCATCC